AGCTCAAACTAAAACAAACAGAAGTAGAATGCAGAGAGAGATTGGATGGATTGCTTCATTTTTCAATCTTGATAGTATATCATGCAACTTTTTTTTTACTACAATGTACAATGGAATTAAAATGCGGCAATTCCCTCCAGTAGCTGAGGTCCTAATTTTTAAACGTATTAAGTCAAACAAAGCTCCATGACATCATGATGGCACAGAAAGCTTGGACCCTGTGTATTTCAGTCTTCTCTTCCGATTATCAAGCTAATTTTTTTTTAATATATAAAACTATTAGCCCAGGATGCAATTAATATTTTGTGCAACTATTGGTTATACCAAATGGTTAAAAACTGTAATCTCTCGTAAACGGCATTTTACACACTGATGTGATAAGTATAATCTGAGAAAACTAGCAAAGAGTCGCACAGTACAAAAATTATTTAATAAAAACTCAATGGACTAACTACAGTTTTATGCTCTACTCTACACATGTACCTCAGAACATTTTTAAAATGGTTTACTGAAAATAAACTAGTACAGATGATAAGGTCTATATGACAATATTCAAACCTGTTTCTGAAGGTTACAATACTCTTATCTAAAAGATGGTAATTTTGCAGTTAAGAAATTACAGCAGTCTTGAAATTATCAATGGTAAAGACAATAATTTAACACCATTTCAAAGTAACCTTCCATGGCCTTCATGAGATAAGTTACAACAAATATATTGATAATGCAACAAAATGAAGTAGCTACTGGTCTTCAGTTCACATTCAGACCTGGTCCTGCAACAATGACTAATATGACTTTCATTTTAGTCCAAGTAGTTATAAATAAAAAGAGTTCTAAGTACTCCCTACCAGAAACTTAGGAGATACAAATTGGGAATTCCAGGAATATTCTCAATTTAATAAACTCATTCTTTTTATTTTTTACAGGATGTGAGTGACACTGACTGGGTCAGCATTTCTTTACCATCTCAAGTAGCCTTTGAGAGGGTGGTAGTGAGCCACCTTCATAAACCTCTGCAGTTTGTGGTGGAGGGACACCCACAGAGCTGTAAGGAAAGGAGTTCCAGGATTTTGACCCAGCAACAGTGAAGGAATGGTAATAAAGTTCCAAATCAGTATGATATGTGGCTTGGAGGTTAACATGCAGATGATGTGTTCCCATGTATTTGCCACCCTTGTCCTTCTAGGTAGTAAAGGTCACAGGTTTAGAAGGTGCAGAGACAGAAAAAAAACAACCCAGTAGTATATAAAAAAAAAGAGATAAATGGGTCATTTCAGGTTGACATGCTGTAACTAGCAGACTGCCACTGATCTGTGTTGGCTCCTCAACTATTTACAATCAATATCAATGACTTGTGATGAGGGGGTAATGCATAGCAGTTAAATTTTTCAATAACACCAAGATAGGTAGAAAGTTGTGAAAAGGACGAAAGAAGAAAAAGAGACATAGATAGGCAAGTAGGTAAAAATTTGGCAGTTGGAGTGTAACATAGGTAAATGTGAACTTATCCCCTTTAACTGGAAGTTTAGTAAAGCAGTGAATTATTTAAATGAAGAAAGACTGCAAGACTCCGTGGTGTAGAGAAACGTTGGTATCCTAGTACCTGAATCATAAAACATTAGTACATGCAGATATAGCAAAAGATTAGGAGGCAATGAAATGTTGGTGTTTCATGTAATGGGTAGTTTTATTGCAGCTGTTTGGGGCCTTCATGAGTCCACGTCTAGAGGGCTGTGCATAGTTTTGGTCTCCTGATTTGGAAAAGGGCATAACTGCATTAGGAAACAGTTTTGAGAACATTCACTCATTCCTGGGAGCAAGGGCTCATCTTATGCACACCTGAACAGGATAACCCATAAGCCAATGGAAAAACACATTGGTTTTATTGAAACATAAATCAGGTTAAAATCAATTAAATCTAAAATATGCGGAGATCTGATGAGATGGATACCCGGAAAATGTTTTGTCTCGTGGGCAAGACTAGAACTTGGGGACAGTTTAAAATCAAAAGGTCCCCTTTTTAAGGCAGAGATTAGGAAAAATTCTCTGAGGCCAAAAGTCTGTAGAATTTTCTTCTCCAGAAAAATGTGGAAGCTGGGTTATTGAGTTCATTCAAGGCCAAGTTGGGCAGATTTTGATTGGCATGGTAGCTGAGGGTTACAGAGAGGCAGACAGGAAAGTGGAGTGAAGACCACAAATGATATCAGCCCATCAGACATCCAAATCCTGCTCTAAGTTCTATGCCCCCATTCAAATCAACTTCTGAAGCCAGAGTACACAGCAGGAACTGCTGTTTGTCTGCTTGGTTTATTTTTTAAACTTGATTTTTTTTTCACTAAGTGATATATATCATTGAGAGTCCAACAAAAAGCATCTGCCCCAGGCTTCAGGAAATGCTGTTATTTTTTAAAACTGATATTACTACTATATTAGACCTCTTTTCCCCTCTCCCTGCAACAGAATTTCTCACTCCCACACCAATGTTTCCGTTGCTATCCTTAGGGACCCTCCTTTCTCTCATCTACCTGCTGGGTTACTTCTTGACAACAATTTTGCAACACAAAGCATTAATTTTCACAATTACATTGATGACTCCTATCCTCACAGCACCAGCACAATTCCAACATTTGTTGCTAATTGTCTGACTATTTATCCTATGTTCTGAGCTGGGTCAGTAGATTTCACTTCCAAATAACATCGTAATGCCTTCATTCTCTGCTACAAACCCCATCCTTTAGCTACTCACTTCATCTCCCTCCCTGGCAAATGCCCAAGAATGAATCAAACTGTTCACAGCCTTGATGTCATATTTGATCCCTAGAGATGCTAGCACTAAGCATGTCTATTCCTCCCTTCAGAACATTGACTCCATCTCCCCTCAGTTTGTCTAATTCTGAAACACTCATTTATGCCTTCATTACTTTTGGAGATGGCTATTCCACGCCACTTCTGACCAGCTTTCCACAATCAACCTTCTGTAAACTTGAGCCTGCCTGATGCTCTAGTTCCTTTATTCACCGATTTCTCATCCACATGCAACTTTTGTTTACCCATCCACCTTGTGTTCACTGACTGCTGGTAAGGCAACATTTTGATTTTAAAATTGTCATTTTTGTTTTCAAATCCATCCGCGGATCTACGCAGTTTGCAACACCTCACCCCATTTAACAAGGCTCCTCAAAGTTCAGTCCTTCAGCTACATCTTCAGACAGGTACCCTATTTTATGCTCAGCATTCAATGTCTTGTTCTTTTTAAAACAATCAATCTGATGTTTTACTATTTAAGAGATTACTACCACTGGTAAGAAATGAAATGATCAATGCTTTCTTACTCACCATTACCCTGAGCTTTCAAGATCATCTGCACAATAAAATGATTTTATGCTTCCTGCAATCATTGGTCAAATGTTAATGGAAGATGATGATCTGAACAAAAGTCACAATGCAATATGTATCATACATTTTGGAAGCTCCTAATTTGAATGAACAATAGATGTACACAAAAATGGCCCTTTTATATCTAGTGACATTTCAGAGCATACTAAGCAGTTTTTAAATGTAAGCATAATTTCTGGTATCACTTATCTTGCACTTCATTATTTCAATGTGTCTTTCTATAGTTTCTTCCTATGCCTTACTAGAGCACATTTAACTCCTAACCTCAAAATGTAATACCCAGAGCCTTTACAAAATAGAAGTCTTTGAGATGATTTGAAAGTATTCTCTGCTCGAACATATTCTTGATTTTCCACAACAGCTTAAAACTGCTGCTGGGAAATATATACAGGAGCAGTTTCACAATATATATAGCTACAGAAATTTATTTAGCTGTTTAGACCTCCCTGCACCCATAACAATCAATTTAAATTTTTTTCATTGCACTTGAATGATATTCAGCAACAGACCAATAGAGTACTACAATATCCAACTCTTGTATGAAAGAGACAAAAAGTCAGTGTTGCCTGACACATTGCCTAGGTGTTAAACTGTTTACAGCAGCAGCATTGGAGGCTCTTTTCAGCTGGATGGTGAATAAAGCATACGTACCACAAAGGCTGACAGACTAGCAGACTTTTCAGCTGCATTACAACAATACCCGATTTAAGAGGTTGAAGATACATGTTGAAATACCTATGTCCTCAACTTAAAGTAATATGGACTGAAAAGATATCAAAATGGAAATTAGCCTTCTCCTACACAAGAAAATACATGAAAATTGCCAATGCCAACCAGATTATTGTTATCCTGATGACAAAATTACAATGTGATAGATGTATTATAATTCAAAATATTTCTGCAGCAATTAAGACAAATCAACATATTGTCAATGCTGGTAATTGATGATTAATATCCAAGTTGCCATTATGTCAGTTAAGTTTATCAATATTAATACTGTTTCAGACTATTGGAAAATAACACTATGCATTCAATGGCCTTCTAAAGCATTTTTACATAAAATAAGATGTATGGTTATCATGCAACAAAATCTTATCAAAAAGTTTTCCATGAGAAATCTCCAGCATAAATCACATCACGCTTAATGTTTAAAATCATATTGTTTTGATTAACTATTTGCCAATAACCTTCACATCCTTACACCAGTTGTCAGAACTGAAACAGTAGAGATAAAAATGTTCAAATAGTTTTTTTTTGAAACTTCGCACTACAGTCCAGTGGCTCCTGCTGGAATGTAGACATTGACAGTAACAGAGGATGTATAATCAGGTTCACTTCTGTTAGTTTCCCTTGTAACCACACCTCAATGAATAGTCAGAGCGCTTGGTTTTATTACAGACGTTTTGACTCAGAGGGTATAAGTTTGCATATATCATGTTCTAAACACAAACAGAATAACAACGTACAACTTTGAGTCAAGCCGGAAAAAGCCAAAAATTGCTGCAAAGAACTGTAATATTCAAACAAATCAACATCACAGAAGCGCAGATGATTTACAATAGGAAGCAGAGACTCAAGCTTGCACATCAGAATTTGACACTCACCAGTTTGAATTCTTGGATACTGCAGATAAAGTAAGGTGTGTTGGGGCGACGACTCTCTATATAAACACAATCTGATGAGAAAAGGAAAACAGAGGATTAAATATATAACTCTCAGGGACAAAGAGAAGCATTGCAAACACTGAGGATACTTGTATGCTGCATGTTCAACAAGGCAAGGGAACTCAACATCTTCAATTTTCTGGGATAGTCAGTCAAGTCTGGGGGGTCTTTTGAAAGAGATTGCTATTTTAGCAGGAAGTTAAGGGCAGTTTTGTTCTGTGGATTCATACCCAAGAAACAACCAAAATACATTTCACATCGAGTTTCAGCCGACTTTAAAGACTTTCAACTCATCAACCCAAGATAGAATAAAACCCAGGAATTAACACCTGCCAAAGGGACAAAGACAGCTAGCATTTTCAGCAATGCAGATGAAAGCATAAAATTACAAAGATACATTAAGAATTTTAAAAAATGAACAAAAACTATAGCAAACAGATTTCAGCATAATCAAATATGACATCATCCACTTTAGATAAAAATGAACTGAGCACAACACTTTCTAAATAGTGAAAGGACAGAAGCAATGAAAGATGGAAAGGTTTTAGGAATCCAAATGCATTTTGAAAAAAGTCAGGAACTTGATGAAGGAACAGACAGTTATCTGAGATATCAGATATTCATGACGGATAGAAACAATAGAAGAATAAAGAAATTTGAAGTCCACACTCATGCATCACTAAAAGCCAAAATAAATAATCTAAAAGGCCACTTCAATCTGGTCTGCCTCTCAAGGAAAATACAAAAGGGCAAAAACTATGCTTTATTTGTATCGTGACTTGGTGCAACTCTACCAACAGTACTGCATCAGTTACGGTACACTATAGTTCAAGATGGATAAACTGGCCTTGGAGGGGTGAAAGAATTAAGAGACTTGTATTTATAAAGGGCCCCTTTAGACTGCAGGGTCTTCTCAAGTGCTCTACAATGAAGTACTTGGGAGCTAAAATCACTTTGAATTCAGTCTTGAGAATTGAAGGACTACACAATGCACAATATGTAAGGTATGCCTGTGCAGTCTGTTATCCGCTTGTATTAAAACTAAATTAAGGAAGTTTTGTTTGTTAGTGTAAAGCATCACTGTCCTACAAAATGGTGTTTGGTCAATAACTGTAACAGTAAAAATCTTGAAAATTAAAACAGTGACATTCCTTCAACTGGAAGATTGATTTTTTTTTTATGCAAGGTATTCTACTCTACAGGGATCTTAAACAACACCACAAAACAATTAAATACTATATGTTGTGTTTGAGAACACAATTGTATCTTTTTTTGATACATCACTTAATAAAATGTAAAAAGAAACCATAGCCAATAATTTATGCCCTGTGCATGACCAGTAGGCGCTCAAGCATAGGCTAGAGGCTTTTTAATGCATATATAGCTTATGGGGTATAACATTTCTTACAATGATTACAATGTGTGGGAAGCCAATTTTTTTATTTTTAAAAAATCATGGATGGGAAAAGTCTACCTTAAACAACAGACCTAATTACAGGTAAATAATTCGATAAACAGGAAAATACACCATTTAATAACACAAAGGAAAACACTGCATTCAATTGTGGTATAACTGTTGAAGTTTCTTGAGCTCACTTCACTTTCAGACCTACTTATACAGAAAGCCCAACCATAACTGCTCTGCTTGATAAATTGAGACAAGACTACTTTTAAGAAAAATTATTCTGAAAATTAGGAACCTATTGAAAACTGACACTGATATTTTTAAATCACATTAGTGGTTTTGAATATTTACCCAGATACAGCACAACGAAAAGGAAATGAAATGACAATACAGTACCTACAAGCTAAAAAGTCAACTTAACTGAAAGCAGCTGGGGATTTAAATTTCTCCCAGTACTTTGTAACTTTCCTCCAAAGTAAAGCTTTTACCACAAACACTGGTGCTCAGCTAGTAACCTCCAACTCAGAGTGCCCCAGGAGTCATACACAGCAGACACTGATCCATCCAATAAAGAGAGAGAGAAAAAAAACAAAAGGCACATGCTCTGGAAAAGGACAACAGGTAATCTCCCTGTTGTTTTTTGCAAATCAAACCTTCCACATATAAATTCAAAAAGATTAACCTAGTTTTCACAGGATGATATCAAACAGGGACAACGTAGCACAACAGAAAATATAAACATTTCCATCCTGCAGTGAGGCTGTAAAAGGTTATTCTGCCTGATGAAATAAACATTTAGAGCAACAAATGTTGATATAATGTAAATATTTTTGCTCAGCAAAAAAATAGATAGGTTTCAAAACGTTAAAACAAGCATGCTGAAAACCTGGATCCAAATTGTATCGTCAACTAAACTTTACAATCTCAGCATTTGATTAAATTGTGATGAAAGCTCAAGGTTTACCAACTTACTACACCAAAGCTGCAAACAAGACAGGCAAGTAATCTTAATTTATCAGTTCAGTGGACAGACATGAAAAGCAGAGCAAGGAAAGCCCAAAACATAGCCTCTTTGTAATGCTAAATAAATAATTGGTGGCCACATTGCATCTTTTACAAGGAAACATGACAGAACCAGAATCAGAATAAAATATTGTTTTTGACCGACCTGAAAGAACACCACAACAGTGTAAGATTGTACTTATAAACATCACTAGAGAAAAGGATGTGGAATGTTTGTCATTAAAAATGGCCAACCATTTGAGTTGTGAAGAAAGTTGGGTGATTAACATATATTTTAATTTAACTTTTTTTTTGAATTAGTAACACATGGGTTTTTCTGAGGGGTTTAATGATTAACTTGCAAGTATTTCTGCAGCCATTGCGATTTCTTTGAAAATGACTTGAGAATTAATGGATTTTTGAGGAGCATTTACAATAGAAGGTGAATAATTATGCATCAAGGTTTCTGTTAGAAATATCTAAATGTTTTTAAGCTCAGAGGATAAACGTGAAAATAGAGCTTTTTTTTAGTTTCAGTTTGGGACAGTTCTGCAGAAGTCTTTAGATGAAGATTGATGCATAAAGCAATGCTTCTGGCAAAGTGAGTAGATAAGAAAAATAGGATTACTTTAGAGGTAGGGGGTTAGAATAGTCCCAGATCAGAATGTTTGAATAAAGCCCTGAAGAGGTTCTTTCAGGCTGAGAATGTTTAAACTAAGGTGTATGAAAGCTCCAACTGAAGTTAAGTAGTATTCAACTGGAAAACAGCGGATAAATCAATCAATAATTTCTTTGTTTTTTTCCATTGTGCTGACAAACTATTCATTATGCGACACTTGTCAGAAGTAATTTACACACAAAAATCAAAGTAGCAGTGCAACAAACACAGCCTACAACCTATGCGAGATTCACTTCCATCTGCAGTGACTGTCAAAAATCACACTTTGAAAAATGACAGCTAAGAACATAAGCAATAGGAGGAGTAGACTATAGGGCCCTCTCCGTTTCATTATTCAATGTGATCACGGTTCAGTTTCAGCCTCAATTCCACTTTGCCCTCTTCTGTAATATCTCCCAATTACCCAAGAACAAAACTCTATCCTCAAGTTGAAACTTACTTAATGATGGAACATGCACAGCCCTCTAGAAGTGAAAAGGTTTCTCCTCATCTCAGTCTGTTTTCTTTTCTCTTTTTGCTTCCCTTTCTCCTGTTTCCTTGGCCCAGACCAGAGCAAGGATAGTGGCTGGCAGACAAAGCAGGGACGGCGGCCAGTGATCCAGAGTAGGGATAGCCAGCAGGCTGGCAGCAGAACAGGGAAGGCAGCCAGCGGGCCCGGAGTGAAGATGGCTATTGGGTGGGGACTGATGGAGCCTGGTCACACTACGTGGAAGCCATTAAAGAAAGACTGTAATGTCTATCTTTTTAACTTTATTTCTACTTTCCTACCTTATACTTACACTATATATATGTAATGTAGTGTGGACTTGTTCTTTATTTTCTCTACTTTTTGTACTTAAGATTTGTACCTAGGTACTTTATACCTAAGATAGCGCCATGTGTCGGTGACTTTGTACACTTTTCACTCTGCTCCTCTTCTTTGGTAACTTGAGTACAATTCTAATTCTATTTCTAAATGCTTGACCTCTCATCCTGAGACTGTGACCCCAATCTATGGGAAACAACCTCTCAGGTCCTACTTCTTATTTTAACATTATATAACATTTGCATAAAATGTATATTTCCTATCAGCCCTTGCTGCAATTTTTAAAAAAGTAAGTATTTACGTATTTAAGATAGATATGCACATCATTTGCACCCTCATTGAAGACCTCTGATAGTATTAAACTGGTTGCATGCTTTGAAACCACATAGATCACCCGACATGAACCTGGACACTAGAAACTGCAAATGCAAATCCAGCCCTCCAAAGCCCTCTTTACCAACATCCGCAAGCTTGTGGGAAAATCGGGACAGGTGACTCGTAGACAAGTCATGCAACAACCTGACCTCTCAGAATCGTACCTTATATTGTCACAAACACTGTCATCACCATTCTGGGATACAACTCTTCCACCACCAGGAGAGATCCAGCAGCAATGGCATAGTAGTATACACTCGGGAAGGAACTGCTACTGGAGTTCTCAATGTTGACTCTGGACCCTATGAAGCCTCCTAGCATCGGATCAAACATAGGCAAGGAAACCTCCTGCTCATGATCACATACCACTCTCTCCTGAGTTGATGAATCAGTATTCCTCCATGTTGAATACTAGTTGGAGAAAACACCGAGGGTGGCAAGGACGCATAATGTATCCGAGGTGAGGGACTTCAATGTCAATCACAAAGAGTGATTCAGTTAATCAAGTCCTAACGGACACTGCTGCTGGACTGCGGCTGTGGGAGGTGGTAAGCAAACTAACAAGAAGGAAAGCATGCTTGACATAATCCTCACCAACCTGCTTGCAACAATTCATCTGTCCATGACAATATTGACGAGTGACCACCACGCACAGCTTGCTGAGGCAACTTCTTGTCTTCGCACTGAGGCCAACATCCATCCTGTGCTATGGCACTATCACCGTGCAAACTTCTACTTTATCTAG